CTGTGTTTGCCATTCTACTGTCAGTTAACAATAATACAGGCTTCAGTCTTGTTGTTTGTTGTTTTTAAAACATTACAAACGGTAATGTAAGAAATCGTAAAAGTAATGGTAGTGGACATTTTATATTTTAACAGTACATATTATGTTGGTTCTTATGTAAAAATAACGATTAATTGGGTTCGTGCAAATATTCACTATACGCTTTATCATAGATTTGACTTCAATTAAAGCTTGTTTCACACAGTTTGGTTAAATATATTTGTTTCTTGTGTTTGCGGTTCTAATTTGTATAAATTCAATCCTTTATGATTATTGTGGTCTTGATAGCTTAATAATAAACTAGAAACGTCATGTATTGTGTTTTTTTGAAAACACCAAATAGTAAAAAAAAAAAAGTGGTACAAATTAGTACAAATTCAATCCATTTTAATTATCTTTGAATGTGGTCCCGATATCTTAACATTAGGTAAGAAGCCATGTATTGTGTGTTTTTGAAAACGGCATATGGTACAACAAATTTGTTTGTCGTAAAAATTAGTAAAAATTTCCTTCTTTGTTTCATTTTTTATCTTTTTTTTTTTAATGTGATCTTGCTAGCTTAATATTAGGCTAGCAGTGCCACTTTTTCTTTTCTAAAACGGTACATGGTACAATTTTTTTAATGTTGGTACAAATTAATACAAAATAAGTACAAAATAAAGTAATAAATTAAATCGATTCTTCCTACTTTGACATTTTAGCCAATCACGTCGCATTTTGCGTTATCGTTGAGACAGCAACGCATACTTAATTATAGGTGTAATATTTAATATATTTGTTATCAGATTACAAGCTAATATCTCGTGGAACGTTTCAAAAGGAATCGAAAATAAAAGTTATTTTAAATATTTTATCGTGAATTTATAAATTTAAGTTAGAAATATTCCCATTAAATATAACTCAAATTTAATAATTTAGCGCTTGTTTTTACTGTTACTAAATTTTTTGTGTATTTTGCAATTTGTCTCGACATAGTTTTGTCATTAATAATCAAAGAATAGAGTCCTAGAGCTAAAGCTCCCGGACCCAATTCAAATTATTAATGACAAAATTATGTCTTGAGAAATTGTTAACAAAAATTTAAAAACAATAAAAATAGTCGACTATTTATCAAGGTCCCGTTATATTACCCTTGACTATCTCCCTAGACCAAATATCAGAGAATATTTCTCCAGAGAAATAGACGATATTTGGTCTAGTGAAATAGTCGTTCCAAATATAACATGATATTGATTAATGTTCTGCTATTTTTTGTTGTTGCTAAATTTTTTGAACATTTTAAAATTTGATTCATAATTATGGCATTATTATTCAACTGATTAAAGCTCTCGGGCTCTAATCAGACTATTAATGCCAAAAATTATGTCTCATCAAATTGATATTAAAATATTCTCGAGATTTAGATTTAACAAAAATAGCTGACTATTATCAAGGTCTTGGTAGGGTAAGTCCGGTAGAGATGCCAACCTTTTTTAAATGTTTAAATAAAAAAATTATTTTTCGTTATATTTATTTAAATTTATTAATGTTAACACCAAACAACATAACTAAAAGATACATTAGCGTAAAAAAATAATAATTCTTATAGAAAAAGGTACATTGTAAATTAAAAAAATAATTCAGTTTGGCATCTCTCCCATATTGTTTGGGTGAGTAGCCCATCTGTGGCGGTACAGATGCCAATGATTATAACTGTCTACTTTTTTTTATATTTAACAGCTTTCCACATCGCTGGCAAATGTTCCTGAATCCCGTGCATCCCTCATGCAACCACCGGTTACAATGGATGCACTGGATCCAATCGTCTTTTTTCTTAGTTAGACTCCACGGCTCTTCACAGCCCACGCATTCGTTATCTTCATCTTGACCAAAAGAAGAATTACTCTCGTGTGTAAAAAAGTCATCTGAGGTGTCACTTGAATTACTCTCCCTTCTATTTTTGGTTTTCCTAACTATCACCTTTGTTTTGGAATTGATACCAGAAGGGCCCGCTTTATTTTCTGAAATAGAAATCTTTGCTTTCTTTACGGGCTTGTTTTCGTTATTGTTGCTTGCCCCTGCTTGCTTCTTTCTGCTTGTTTCAAGTTTCTTAACTCTTTCTAAATTTTCAGGTGATGTCAGAAGTTGAGCCACTTTACCTCCTCTACTTTTAAAATTGCTGATAGGTTCAGATAATGGCGCTACAATGTTAAGCAGCTTTCCTGGCGTGTTATTATCTTGAGTATTGTTTTCACCAGTTTGATCTGCTGAACTAGGATGTGACTCATCAGTGGCTGAAGTTGTAGCAACATTTGACGCATTATGTACAGACGCCGCTTTTCCCCATGCCTCGTTTAAAAGTTTGCCGAAATTAAGCCTGGTAAGTCTCCTATCTTTACTTGCTTTGACAAAAGAATAGCAGGATTGGTAATAAGCCGATTTTAAAGATTTGAAGACGGCTCTGTCTAAAGGCTGAAGATAGTATGTGGTGTGAGGTGGCAAGCAGAGCAGAATTATGTCATTCTCTTCTGCAAATGTCAATACATCTATTGCGTTTGTATGTGAAGTATGACCGTCTAAAATCAAGAGGCATTTTTCTTGAGACTTTCTAGGTAAAAAATGCCAACGATGAAACAATTCTGCGTTTATGTAAGCCGACTTTTTTGACATATAAACAACGGATCCTGGTGGCATATCATTTATAAATTCAGGTTTCTTATTAACACCTTTAAATATGCAGGCGGAAGGTAAAAAGAAACTTTCTGCATTGCAGCAAGACGCAACTGTTAGAGTTTCACCTTTTTCTTGAGGCGGTCGGGGTTGTTACAACCTTAAAACCTTTTTTAGCTATAACCAACGATGGTTTAGTATTAAAATGTAGACCAGTCTCGTCTATATTGTAAATAGAACTTGGTTGATTGAATAAATCATTTTCTTGCAATATTTGATGCAATAAATCAAAATAATTCTTTACAGCCTCCTTTGTCATTCCCAAACTTCTTGATAATCCCTCCGCTTTTCTTATTGACAGTTCCGGATTTCTTCTTAAAAATGACTTTAGCCAGTCATACCTCGCTTTTTCTTCTTCTTTGTTAAATTTGTGTTTTATTTGTAATCTTTCAGCTAGTTTAAACGCCATTTCCCTTACATCCATAGTAGGAGAAAAACCAAACCTCTGAAGCTTCTTTATATGAGCTACCATCTTCTTTTCAGCTTCGTTACCAAGCGTGCTCGCAGGACCCATTCTTCCTTTAGTTACATTATTTTTTTCAATCCTTCTTTTAAGGGTTCTAACAGGAATATTGTACATTCTCGACGCCTCGCCAACTCTCGTTCCATTACTAACGGCTGTAACTGCCAACATTAAGTCGGCCTCTTACCAATTTCCACGGGTGGCAGATTTTCTTTTGTAAAAGGAAGGCATATCTGCAAAAAAATATGCAAAAATAATATTGGCATCTCTACCGAATATGTTTAGGCATCTCTACCGTTTGTAAGGGAGAGACACGGCATAAAAAACAATCGGCAGGCTCACTTGCCGCTGATCGCATACAAATATTATGCTAAGAAAATTTGACCTTGTCGACGCCATTCGGGGGTCTTAGTCAGGGTCGGATTAAAGCGTATTTAAATATTTTGTAATAAAATAAGGCATTGATAGGCAGGATCGTATTAAAACAAAAAAGTAAAAATTTAAATGAAATATATTTAAACTTATAAGAATAGCATTAAAAAGACAATATACTCTACAGATTGCGACAAATAATTAGCTTGTTTTTATTGTCTTAAAATTTCTATTAATATTTTTAAAGTGTAACATATGAGTAGCCTTAAATATAACTTAATAACATATATTTCTGGAAATCGAGGACAAGGAGCGTCAAATGTTATCTCGGAATTAATTAAATCTAAAAAAAATACAAACGCCAAATTTAGTGATAAAATAATTCAAAATTTTGTTGAAAAATTATTTCAATTTTTGTTATTAAACATACAAAACTATTATCTGATATTTTTAAATTGCCAAAAATTGTAAAAGTTTATGTTGAATAATTTTAGAAGTATAAAATAAATAATACAAAATTGTAACAACTAAATATTATTTGTAAAATCTTTATTGGTTACAACAATAAACATAATATACATTTTCTAAACAAACAACTATTTTAAATAACATAAAACAAACAAAATTATTCTATAATCGTGCGAAATAAAATAAGAGTTCCAGCCATAAATCCTAAAACGAAAAACAAAAAAACAATCGTTGAAAGCGAAAAATTGCTTAAGACACATGATTTTAATTGTATGTGACTTATTACTAATTTTTAATTTACTACTTATAATTTCTTTAATGGCTAATTAAAATTTTCTTGCTTTTTGTAATGAAAATACTTTAGATTTATCAAGATTATAAAGCTGTGTTATTCGCATATCTAGAATAATTATTATCAAAATGAATATTAGAATTAAATTTTTGTTAAGCATTTCAATATTTGGGCATAACACAATTACGATTAATATTCATTTTTTTCAGAAAAAAAAGTCATTCCTTACAAAAAATTCTGCTTGTTGAAAAAAATAACAAGAAAAAGTTTCATTTTAAAGTTATGAAGGAAAACTGTGACTTTTCTTCGTATAATCAATAGGTAATACAGACGATAAAATTTTTGATGCACTCAAAACTTTAAAATTGATATAACTTACCGTTAATAAGTGATGTTCACTTTTTTCGCTATACAATCGAGTTCTAAGAAAACGGCATCTCTACCACTATGGCATCTCTACCGGACTTACCCTATATTACCCTTAATAATTTTATGTGAAATACAATGAGACAAAGTGCGTATAAAAATTATAGTTGTTAACCGGAATTTCAAAATTCATTGCGTATTTTTTTTTACTTTTCCGTAATGCATTTTACTTACAAATCTTTTTACCGAATATGTACAATTTCTATTCTCATATTGATTATTTATTTGCAGGTATCCTGGATAAGGAGTAAAGACTTACACATACTGACGTCCGGGAGGCACACGTTTTCCAGTGATAGACGTTTCGAATCCGTACACACGGATAGCTCGGGGGACTTTTGGGGATTACGCATACGAGGGGCTCTCGTATCTGACATGGGACAGTACGAATGTCAAGTTAACACGGAACCAAAAATGAGTTTGGCTATAAGCTTAATTGTTTCCGGTAAGTAAATGTATTATATTATTATTTATGTGTTTCTAATTGCTTCTAGTGATTAAACAGCACTAAACTTTTGTAAAGTTGGAATAATTAGGTAAATGATGAAATTAATAAAGATATGAGTCTTGTTGCTGGAGAGAATTTCTTAAACGCAGTGAATGCATTTTAAACTGTTAATAAAAATTTACAAATTAGGAAATTGGAAAGTTTGGGAAGCCTAGAAGAAGCGTTGCAATGGTTGTACAGTAGGGTGGAGCAAAAAAACTTATTTTCGAATTTGTCAATCCCTGGATGCGGAATAGTTGCCATTATAGACCCTTTTTATCCACAAAAAAATCAGTTTAAAAGAATTATATGTAATGGCTAGAGCTAGCTCATTTTGAGAGGAATATATCAATAAGGTTAGACGCGATAATGATGGTGAGTATATTTGGAAAAATTTAAAATGTTTTGTTCCTCAAATGGTATACAATTAGAATATTTGGAGTGAGGGTAGCCATATGTGAGTAGTAGGGATTAAGTGTAAAGGTTAAAGAAAAGGTCCTTTATTTCTCACAAGTCAATTTATTGGCGACCGGTTTCGAAGTTGTCACTTCATCATCAGTCACACCGGTCGCCAATAAATTGACTTGTGAGAAATAAAGGACCTTTTCTTTAACCTTTACACTTAACAATTAGAATATACTATTCCCTACACTCCTAAACTTACTGCACATGCTAAAAGAGATTTAATGGGACATTATTAGACAAGGGTAGATCTATGATTATTGAATCAGGTTTAAACAGAAAGTATACGTACTGCTGCGTATTTACTAAATAAATTACCAACAGCTGCTAATTACAATTACAAAGCACCTTTTAAAATGTGGCATTAGAAAACGCCTAATACATCGGTTATGCAAATACGGAATATAGATTATGGAGCTTAGCTCAAGATTGTATTAAAGTTGGTAGAGATGATTCATATGATGAACTGGTTTTCCAGAAAACAGTGAAATCTGCATCGTTGGATGAATCTTCATTATATTTTATTGAATTTATCTGGTATTTATGTTTGGAGAAGAAAATATTATTATCTATAATTTTTGTTTTTGTCAAATTTACCTTAAATGGTCCGTATTCGAGAAATTTGACCAAATGTGCAAAATTGTTAAACTAAAAGTTGTTTGCGATATCGATCTCTAGAATTTTTGTTTTTACATGATTTTTCTAAAATGGACCGTAATGGAAAAATTGAAGAAAAAGTGCTTAATTTAAATTTTTCAGTATTTTCGTTTTCAATGAATATCTATACAAAAATGTTTCGAGTTAGATGTATCTGGAAAATGTATATATTTAATTTATCCTCTAAACATTTATAGAGGTGCTACAATAGGTGTACAAAATAACCGGGAAAAGCCTATAATAACTAGATAGGAAAGTCATGTGTTGGATACATCAGATTTTTCTAGATCGTTTGTTGAGAAAAAGTCGCTGGATGTTATAACTACTACTCTGAATGGAATTTTTATTTTGGTTTTAAGAACCACTTGCCCCAATCATTGGGAACATAAATATTTTTGTAATGTTTTTTGTTTTTTTCAATTAGACCAAAGTCCTGGTCGTTAGGAAGGTAAGAATAACCAGATACTAAAAATTTGTGGTCAATAATGTCAACTTTGTAGTCGCTGGATAAGGTAATGTAAGTACAAAGGGCAGCCATATTAACATTTTTATTTTTACCACCGTACTAATCGCTGTACATTACTAACTTTTTTGTGGAAACAAAGTTCTTAATGTAGTATGCAATACACGAACCAATTTCCTGGGGATCAAGTGATGCGATACTATCGTCCCACATGTACAGTTTGGAGATCATGAATCCCGAAACAAAACGTCCAAAGTTGCATTTTATAGTACGCAATTCCTGTTAAAATTATTGGCGTTGCCAATGTTTTCATTAAATCAAAGAAATTACTGTGATAGCAGTGTCCGATTTTACAGCTTCAGTATCGTGTCCCAAGCCTTGCCTAGCAGCTTCAGCTTTCCTCTGATGCAGCTCTGGTTGCGCTTTAATTGCCTTACATTCCTGGCTATCTGCCACAGCTGCCTTTATATCAAATGCATCACATTTTCGACAACTATCGGATAGTGGTGCGTGGAACTTTAAATTAAAACCGTTCTTAAATATTTGACGAAAAACAAACAGTGACACGGGTTGTTTATTTTCATACTTATACTAATTGTACATCTTGGTAAGTTCTAGTTCTAGAGAAAGATATCTGACATTTGGTTTTTTTTTTAAGAATAATTGGACTCGTACGCCGGTAATTTATTAATAAAACCTTTTACACCAGTGACTTTTTTCAGAAACGTTTTATTAAGAGATGTTGATTTTCCACGTTTATCAGGCGGTGGTGTTCAGTAGTTATGCGACCATCCGAAACATCCAACGATTGTTTAAAAAAAAAAAATTGCAAACTTTCGTGTCTTCTCCTTTTTCATCTGGCAAAAGATAACATCTACTGTGTTCCTTTGATTTTCTATTTTCCGTTGTATACGTACGTTTTTTGTTTAGAACTCTGATATGTCCAAAAATATAAGAACTTTACAAAGTATGAGATCCCAAATTATAAAAATTTTTAAACAGAGCCTTACGCCACTTTTGCGAAACATTTTCATGACACTTCTTTGAACACGGGCAATCTTTGGCTTTAAAAGTCTCCCCCTGGTGTTAACGTATTCTTCGCCAGCAGCACGCTTTCTTTTTCTAATATTTCTCTTTCACTGTCCTTCATTTTTCTTTCTTTTTGCTCCCTGACTAAAAACTGGCTCGCTGGAAGTGTCTTCTATGTCTGCAATATAAACAAAAATTAATAGAGGCAAACCTAATAAGAAACAAAGAAAAACAAACTAACCAGAGAGATTGCTAGCTTCACTGCAGTTATCAGAAGGAACAAACTCAGAACCTGAGTCCAGAAAAGGCTCTTCAATATCTGTTTCAAACAAATTTAAGTGCAAAAGTGGCCCAAACCCAGAACAATGAAACACAGTATTTAACATAACCTTCAACTACGGCTTTTTATGCAATAAAACAATTATTACTTACTACTTTACAAGCAAAAACATCATAATTTACTTTCCAAAGCCACTTTCATCACTAGCAGACATACTTCTTTGCATTTTTTATATACACTTTAATGTAACACGCGGTCAAATAAGCGGCCTGCAATCTAGAAGTGGGTTAGGCTAGTCTTGCTTAAGCAAATAAGAACCAGATGTTTGCGCAAAAGTGAATTTGTGCCATCTTGTGATGACTGGTCGAAATAGGTTTGGGCCGGTATTGCGTAGAGAAAATGTGATTTTTTTGGGGCATTTTTCAAATTGAAATGTAGATTGAGTCACTTTTAATAAATTAATAATTGTCAGCATAATAATTTTTATTGAATATACTATATTACAATACCAACTACTTTTTGGACTCTCGACATCGGTAGAGACAGAGTTAATTAAAGAACATTTTCTTGTGAAATTCAAGGAAAGATGGGATGAAACAATAAAATGCAGACTTGCTAGGGAGCTTGTAAGTTATCCTGACAACACTACAGATAACAAATACTTGACTATGTATATGACTGCACCTGATCCCAGGTATTCTGACTAGTCATTGCTATTACGAAATCAACTTCATATCATGAGGCTGTCAGAATTCGTATTCTTTAGGGGGTGCGATTAAGAAGATGAGACCATTTAGCGTATCATCTACGATAGCCCAATGCTTTCATTTATTAGAAGATTTAGGTTCGGTGAATATCCGCTATATAAGAGAAGTACTGTATATTTGATTTTAAGAAAGTTTTAAAATGTACAATTAAGAAAATTTCTCAAAAATTTTGAGTCTTTCCAACAACAGCGCACACGTATAATATACACATTTTACTCGGTTTACTTCCGAAATCATTATCGCTATTTTTAAGGCAACGTCGTATCGACACAAAGAAAGCATCAAAAATATTGTGTTTGTAATATTTCTTTCAGAGATTGATCACGTATAGGAGAAAACATGTAACCTCAATATGATATCTCCTTTCAGGCAACGTCATTGGACTTATAAACTCTGATTCTCTCCTTATAAACTATGTATGTATACATACAAACTATCACACTTTTCAAAACATAAACATGGAAAATTTTAAAAGTTGGATCGCGATGTAGTTTTCAGTTATGGTCGGGAATAGAAAATTTAGTGCATTCGAAAACTTTGTTTCATCAAACTACCGTGTCTTATATTTTACAGCAGTTAAAAAGAATTTGTATAAAGTAGACTTTACCTTCTGTTTAGTTGTTGAAATTGTATTTATTATACACCTGTTTCTTTAAAAGTTTTTAAAGCTACTTTAAAAGTCAATCCTCAAGGAAATGAAATTATTTTTAAATTATATTGCATATGTATAGAGCAGTAATAGCAGTTTGTGCAACAATAGTGGGTATGATGGCCATATCGCACGAAGACGAAATTTGAGCACGACGCCGTAGGCGGAGTGGTCAATCGTCTGAGTGAGATGTGAATAATCCACTTTAGTTGTACAGTATATTTTGTCTCTGACCCACTAACGAAAATTAGGACAAAATATCTATATTTAAAATAATTTATAAATTTTTAATAATTTTTTAAAATAAAATAAACGAAGAAAAAAAAATAATTTAAAAGTCCCCAGCCGAGGCTCGAACTTGGGTTTCTCGCGTGTAAGTCAGATACTCTTACAACCCAACCACCGGCATATTTGACAAACTTTTTTAATACTCGTAATTGAATTGACTTTTATTAAAATTAACAAATTATTTATGTTGATAGTATAAATAAAAATAGAAATGCTAATATTTATCGATTCTCCACAAAAATAAGTCATTTCAATGTATATTTAAGTTCAATAACAAAAAAATATATTAACAATTAGTTTGACAGAATTGTCACTTATTTTAAATTTTAAAAACAATAGTTGTCGGGTGACCAAAATATGAAC